ATGATGGAATTTTCCAAAATAATTGCACTTTGTGCTCCTTACATACACTGAATATCGTAAGCAATATCGACAAGATAATTTCTGTTTTGTTGTATTCATCTAGAAAATAAATAAAATTCTAGATGAGTTTCTCAAGTACAAGTTATGCTTTTATACACAATTATTATTTGCAAGTAAAATAAAATACAATATAAATAAAATAAAGATGTGATTAAGAAATAAAGTTAACATGTTTGCAAGTATGCTTACAAAGATATCATACATACTAAAATCATTATTGAACATAAACTTTATATAAAAGTGTAGCAAGCAGTCATAAATACTCTCAACTATGTCTACGTGCTTACAAGCAGATTGGAAAAGAAACATATTTTGATAGATCATACATGTAGTGTCAAGCAATCTGCAAGTACAGAAAAAGATATAAAAAAATAATAAAGATAGGAATAATCATCATATTCTTCCTGTATTATTTTTTCATAATATATATTCGTTATATTAAACATTTATTTACCTTTTTGGAAAATCATTAACATCTGTATAATTTATTTCTTTGGCTAAAGCAAATATTTCTTCTAATGCTTTCTGAAAATACATAGAGAAACATTATTTTGCATGCTACTGAGAATGTAGATAGACAAGAAGCTTTTTGTTTGCAATATTAATATCTATATAAAAATCTTGTAATTTGTTAATGATATATCTTTATCTTTACATATATTCACTCACTCACTCACTCACTCACTCACTCACTCACTCTCTCTCATTCTCTCTCTCTCTCTCTCTCTCTCTCTCTCTCTCTCTCTCTCTCTCTCTCTCTCTCATATCACAAACAGCATACTTACCTCTTTCTCATTATTATATTCTAGATTGATATATTTGTCTATAATTTTCTCATACATGATTATTAATGAAATTTGGAGAATGTTCCTTAAGATGTTACAGGAGCATATATATCCAGAAGCAAACAGATGTTATTCTTTTATCTTGATAAAAATAAACAAACATGACTGTGAGAAATACTTGTTTCAATTTAGCAATCGTTGTAATATAAGATATTTAATATTATGAAAGTAATATCATGATGTAAACTTATATGTACCGTAGAATTTAATTAAGCGGTCTAATTGCTGATTTTATATATGTACAATATATAAAATACAGAAAATAAAATACACTTTCAGAAATAACCCTAGTATTCTTTTTGTTATCCTATCTCGCCAGACACTCGTTGTTTACTCGCAAAGTAAAATACATTGATTAAAAAATAAAAATGTCTTTGTTATATTACTTAGTTTTAGGATTATCACTGACTGTTATATGATTAAATGATTTGAAATTCAAGACGACTGCCCTACCAAATGCTACCCCGAAAAATTCCCTAAAGTATCGTTGTGATGTATCGAGCGCGGAAAAAAGTTGATAGAAACTTGAGAGTGCGCATTCTCATTTTAACTTACTATTGCAATTTTCGCAAACGTGTTACCTTATGGCTCAATAGATCACAATTGCAAAACTTTCTTTCACACAATCGCTTCAAGTAAGTGCAATTTGGAGTTTGTTAGGCTTCATTTACAATGCGTCATGAGTCAGTGTCGTGGGCCGTAAGAATGAGCCAATTATAATCAAGTATTCTCTCCACATTCTGTGACCCACGACACCGACACACGACGCATTGTAGAACAGGCCTAAAAGATTTTTGTTCTCGTTGCTCTTGCACTCCCTAGAATTTCCGATACTTAAGAGAGAACAGATATGTCCGCGGGCGATGAAGGAAGAAAGAACGAGAAATATAAAAGATGCAAAAAGTACAGTTAACGTGAACAGACTTCGAAGCTTCCGAAGCCTGTTCTTTTTGGCTGAACTGGCTGTACTAGTTCACAGTTTATCTTTCTTTCTTACACTGGAAGAAGAAAGATAAACTCTAGAATTAGTGCAGCCAGTTCAGCTAAAAAGAACAGACCCCATATATGGGCAACGGAATGCGAGACTCGATAAGACTCGAGACGGGGAAACGGAGACTCGGAGGATTTTTCACGTGATAATTTTGTCGGTCTAATGGTTTTTATTCAGTACGTGACATTGGTAAATTCGTCGAATAGATTCGCGAGAGCGAGGAGTGCTATGTATGCTATTTTGAAGCGCACACATACGTGCGAGCGTTGGTGCGCGGGCACGCGAGCGCACGACGCACAGCAAGATCCTCTGCCTCTGCCGGCCTCCGTTTACGAAGTAACCTAACGCCTAGATCCTAAACATTCGTCCATCCGTCCGTCCGTTCGTCCGTCCGCCCGCCCGCCCGCCCGCCCGCTCTTTCCGAGGCATCTGTCCTAGAATTCAGCGTGTCCTCTCGCTTTTCCAGATTGCATGTGCACTGCGTCCCTCGACATCACCGGCCATGAATTCCCATTGACTTCCATCGAATACTGTCGAACTTGTACGGGTGGCTTTATTACTTTTCATCGATCATAGTTCGTGTTATGGCTCTACGTCGTGGAAAACGCAACCTAAAACTGCAGGTCTCCGAAGAAGCGCCTGCACCAGTGTATGTAAAGCAGTGATTGTATATCTGTCAAAGTGTTATAATTAGTGTTGTGTTGTACTTTATATTGTATTTCATTATTTGGATTTCTTATGATATTTGTTTGTAAAAATTAACCGAGAAAGAATCTCAAGTAACATTCAAAAGCTTAAAGTTTTAAGTAAGAATTGAGATATCTTGGAAAAAGAATCATACTTTACATACTATATGTATATATCTGTATATACACGCAATGGTAGGATGCATCTTCAAATATATGTGAATATTTTTGCTTTAGGACACCACCAAGAAATTTAGATAAACGGACTACCATTACTATAGATGAAAAGACATTTGTCGTAGAAGCTGATGATTTAGAAACACTTTGTATACTTGGTCGTGGAGCATATGGAATTGTTGACAAAATGCGACATAAACAGAGTGGTACAATAATGGCTGTTAAGGTATTGTCATCAAAGTGAGCTAAAAGTCTTTGTACATTATGCTATGGCAATATCATGGAACATATCTGATTAAAAAACACATAATTGATATTTATAGAGGATAACTGCAACTGTTAATACACAAGAGCAAAAGAGGCTGCTCATGGATTTAGATATTTCCATGCGTAGTTCAGCATGTCCTTATACAGTACAATTTTATGGAGCTTTATTTAGGGAAGGAGATGTATGGATATGTATGGAAGTGATGGACATGAGTCTTGATAAATTTTATACAAAAGTTTATAAACATGGTCGTGCCATTCCTGAAGATATCTTAGGAAAAGTGGCTTTTGCAGTATGTATCTACATATAAATACACACACACACACACACACACACACATATATATAAATTAACTTTAAATACATGATAATGTTACTTATAAATAATAATTTCTTCTGTTCATTTTTCGCGTAACTTTAAAAATCTTTTTTTTCATGAATTCTTCAAAAAATGTCTACATGATCGCATTTATATTTGCAGGTAGTAAGCGCATTACATTATCTTTATTCACAATTACGAGTAATTCACAGGGATGTAAAACCTAGTAATATTTTAATTAATCGGAAAGGCGAGGTAAAAATTTGCGACTTTGGTATATCGGGTTACCTCGTGGATTCGGTTGCCAAAACTATCGACGCTGGATGCAAACCGTACATGGCTGTACGTAACTGTAGTGTTTTGCCTTTAGATATTTCATTAATATCAATACATTCTCCACCATTATTTTTTTTGTAGCCAGAAAGGATAGACCCAACAGGTAACCCATCGCAATACGATATCAGATCTGATGTTTGGTCATTGGGAATTTCTCTTGTTGAATTGGCAACTGGTAAATTTCCGTACGAGTCCTGGGGTACACCTTTCGAACAATTAAAACAGGTGGTGAAGGACGAAGCTCCAAAATTGCCTGCAGATAAATTTTCTCCTTCGTTTGAAGAATTTATTAATAAGTGGTAAATAGTGATACAAGATTATTTTTTACAAATAAATAAAATTAATTAAAAATAATAGAAGAAGGTTTTGTCGATTACATAATTGGTTCCTTGTTTTCAGTCTGATAAAGAACTACACTGCCCGTCCAAATTACAGTCAATTGTTGGAATTGGACTTTACCAGAGAACATGCAGAAAAAGACACGAATGTGGCGGAATTTGTCGGAGATATTCTAGACTTGCCGGAAAATGAACAACCGGTATAGTGCATACATCTTGACATAGCTTGCAATATAATTTGACTTGCAACTTGTATTTTTGCAAGACAGTCACTCGATGGCATTATCATATGTAATTTATATTATTGGATCGCTGATTATTTTGCGAATTATTTGATCACTGTGTCCAGATCTAGTTGTACGTGAATGAGTATGCTTTTATTCATCATTATCTTCATTCATTTTTATTAATCGCATCTGATATAATTGTAACATTTATAAGTTTGGCCTGAAAATAATTGTTTCTATTCCAATTTTAACTTGTCACATTGAAGCAAATATGTATACCGATGTATCTCTACATGATATAGTAGGACTGAGTTCAAAAACCTCAAATGTATCATTTTAATTATTAATTGAATAAGGATAAAATGATACATGGGTACATTCGGGTATTATTTCTGAACATAGCCTAGTATAAATTAACACTCATGTGGAATTGTAGTAATAATAAATGAAAAAAATCTTAATAATAATATCTCGTTGCGTGAGATATATACGCATCTTTAGAGAAATAAAATAGGAGACCAATTTATTGTAACATTAAAGATTGTATATAGTAATCGAACGTGCATAAAAAGAAATCAAAATTCTATTTGTTTAAAAAACAACTTCATTTATTAGCGATCAGTAATAAGGAAGGTATATTTTATTGACAATGGAATTGAATATTTTTTGTGACACAATATGTGCATGTATATGCACGCGATATATATATATATATATATAAATAATATATATAGAGTGAAAATCTTGTAGAAAATCTTGATGTTTTCCTTTTCTATATATAATCTAGAATTATAATGTAATAAAAATTAATCTCGAATAAATGATTATTTAAACAGTGTGACAAGTTCAATTGATTGAAACTTGATTTTTTATCTATTGATGATCAAGTTTATAATTTCACAAAAATTAAATTCTGCACGTATGTGCTTGAAGTAACTTTTTTTGTGGATCGTAGATTTTTACTACTGACAAAAGATTTTGAGGACCATAATCTACGACTGCTATTGAATATATATATAAAATAAATATTATATACATAATGAATTATAAATTTTCACCATTGTATATAATATTATATAATATTGTATATTGGAGCACAGCCTTTATATATCATACAAGCAAGATTGGAATGTGCTGATTGTTTATTTGTAAGAAATTAAATTAAGAGTTAGCGAGCTATATAAACCATGAGCAACTTTTGAATAATAAGATATTGGAAATATAAACAATTAATGGAGAGGAGCTGTCAGGGTCACGGTCAGAGAATTTTTAGAATCTTGAGATTTTTAATTCAAAAATCACCTGAAAAACTTGAGTACTTTGTAAGAGATGCAAATTGCTACAAGTCTAATTATATCGTAGTCTAATCAAATATGGGTACTCAGTAATGAAATGCGGAGTTCAGGCAAATTATGTGGTTAATGCTCCCAATCAAACACAGAGATATAGATGTAATTCACAAACGAGTTATAAATAGTTATATAAATAGTTATATATATATATATATATATAGGATACTTGCTATTTTTATATTCGTTCCTGTCTTTTCATTTATTAATATGGCGAATGATCATGTGACTAAACAGCTCAAAAGTTTTAACACGAGGTATTCATATATATATTTGGTTTTTAATTTTTACTCCGAATTTTCTAACATTTAATAGTTTTTCCTGTTTCTAATATTTTCTCCATTATACACAAATTTTATACTGATGGTTATATCATCATTTGTTCTTGTGTAGCATTCGATAAAGAATAAAGAAATGATAAATTATCGATTTGTACTATTAGAAAGCACCCCTTTGTAACTAACGCGACAGTTTATTTTGTTTTGTCACTAACATTTTAGCAGGCAAGAGCAACTTCTTTGATAATAAAGACGAACAAATCACGTTGCACTGCTTCATGAAACATACTATAACTCGCGATTTGTTCCAGTCAAATGAGATCTCTCACTAGGACTGATTTTTCTAACATCGTTCTAATAACTAATTTCATTAACAATTATATTTTCATCTCTTTTTTTTCAGAACTTATCTGAAGATGAAGATAGTTACCAATCAGATTAAAATTACGTTGAAACAATCGACCCCTAAGCCTAGATCCTCATGACACCGACGCTTTGACACCGAGCGCTGATTGGTGAAAAATGGATAATGAGAGTAAATAGTAAAGATTCATTCGTCATTTTATCCCCACTCATTTTCCACCAATCAGCATCTGTGTCAACGTGCTGGTGTCTGCATGAGGATCCAGCTTCATCTAGTGATTTGCCTGGATGTGTTGTGTACAATTGGGTGTATCGTTGTTCATTGTTGCGTATTTCGGTCGAGACTCCGGTTCGCCACTAATGTTTCGTTTATGCCGGTTTTAACAGATTTTCGCGGCATTGGATAGCGGTGAATAGCGGTGAATAGCGGTGTATGTACGTATCGATAGCGCAAGTGCATTGTAGTATATGCGGAAGTACGTAGGACAGCGTGGGTAGATTCAGGTAAGTTGTTGCACATTGACGTGCATTGACACGAGTTTACTACTAAATTTGCAGAACTTACAAAGTTTGCGTTTGTAGAACTCACGCGCGTTGACGTAGTTGATGTGCATGTTATAATAGCCGAGGCAATGCACGAGTCAAACCGTCAAACGCCAAGTCACATCGATTCCGATTGAGAACCAGGCACGACTCACGACGAGATTTTCTTTTCATAGAGATATGCAGAAAATGGGCAAATTGAATTCGTCGATCGATATTATTCCCCTGCAAGGATCGAGTGGAGAAGGATGGAATAGAGCGAAGCACATGGATAACAAATATAGGATGGATCAAAGACAATTCCGAGATAACTCTTTGATCGGTCGCGTGCAAATGGTAATGTCTCACGAATCGAGGTTATTTTTCTCTACGGTTTCTTTGAATAAGATAATAGCTGGATTCCGTAAAGAGCATATGCGCACATTTATCTATAATTTATGTCACGTATATTATAATAAAATGCGCATACATGCGCTTTACGGAATCCAGCTAATATGAGATCACGGTACATTACAAATGAGCGACGATGTGTACATACATGCATGCACACATGTGTAATATATATACACATTTTCACATGAACAGAATATTCAAAAATTTATTAGACACAATGTGATCATAGAATCAAGTTTCAGTTTACGAATGTTTTGCAGTATATGCATGAAAATGAAACTAAGGTTTATATCAATGTTGATGAAATGGCAGACGCATTGCAAAGACGATATAGAGATTATCGTGGTAAAAAACGTGGTGCGTTTCGCGCAATGGTACGGAAAGCATATGACGAGCTTACCGAAATGTTTTCGAAGAAATCTTCAACACGTGAACGGGTGACATACGATGATGATGATGATGAGTTTGAAGATGTTGATGTCGAAGTATTTCAATTTATTTTTGTATTTTGCACGAATACTTTTGATATAACTTACTTTTAATATAATATTTAATAAAACCACTGATTTTGTCTGATTTTAGTCAGATCCACAACGTGCTTCGATGGGCGATATGTTATTACAAATGTATAAAAAACCACAAAACAAACAAAATGGAAATTCGAGTGATAAAGAATTGATCGACATTAGCAGTGATGATGACGTTGCTAAAGTTGACTCTAAGACTGAACAAGATGCAAAGACATCTGAATCTAGATGTACAGCAACTGAAGAATCTTTACAAGCATCTTCAACAATCGCTTCCAAATCAGAAGCAACTAGCACTAGGCAAGAAACAATTACCGAAAAGCCAGAAACAGCACAGCTAGAATCGTCTACTCTACAATCAGAAATACCCACAAAGCCAAAAATAGTATGTATGCATTTGTATGTAATTTGTGATAAATTTTTAATGATTTCACAATGTTAAATTATAAAGAAAATTAAAAATAAAGTATGTTTTTTATTTGTTTTTGACATTTTAGCCTGTAAAAGAGACAAAACAGTCATCAGTAGAACTTCCAAGAAAACGACAAAGAGAGAAAGAAAATGGCAATGGACAATTTTCAATCGCAAAAAGAGCGAAAATCATACCTATCACAGAATCGAAAGTTACATTTTCTAATATAGGAGGTAATGACAAAGTTTTCAAAACTGTTTGCAAATTATTAGCTCACATGAAACATCCTGAAATCTTTAAACGGCTCGGTATATCTCCACCAAGAGGATTTCTACTTCATGGACCACCTGGATGTGGGAAAACATTACTGGCATATGCAGTTGCGGGAGTAAGATATCTAATTCCAGAAAATCTCTAAAATTAAAAATATATGCTACGTTACAATTAGAAATATTATTTATTCAGGTTATTATGATAAAATGATAAATGAACTTGTAAATGTAAATGAACTTGTGGTATTTTGTATATGATTGTAAATATGTATAGGAATTGTGTATACACAAAATTTCTCAGTTTCCCTTTCTTTTTCTCTATGGTTAATGTGATTAAAAGAAATTAGAATCTATGAGAGAAAAAAGAGATAATTAATAATTTGCACACTTTATGTAGGAGTTGGATATGCCTTTATTAAAAGTAGCAGGACCTGAACTTGTGGCTGGAGTATCCGGTGAAAGTGAAGCTCGTATCAGGGAATTATTTGAGCAAGCTTTAGCTCTTGCACCATGTGTTGTTTTTTTAGATGAGATAGATGCTGTTGCGCCACATAGAGCTACAGCTCAGAGAGAAATGGAAAGAAGGATCGTTGCGCAATTATTGTCGAGTTTAGATGGTAAAATAATTGATATTTCCATTATTATTTGTTTTGTATTATCGTAAGTTGTATTACGCCATACGTTTCCTCTTTTCCTGTTTTCTTTTTAGAATTGAATCTTAATGAGAATGGAGACAGAGTACTGGTGATTGGTGCGACAAATCGACCAGATTCATTAGATCCTGCGTTAAGGAGAGCGGGACGTTTTGATCGTGAAGTGTGCCTTGGAATACCAGATAGAGAGGCCAGAGCTAGGATTTTGGCAGTACATACTGAAACAGTTGTATTAGCTCCTAATGTTAGTTTATCAACAATAGCTTCTCTTACCCCAGGTTTTGTAGGTGCAGATTTAGTTGCTTTAATTAGAGAAGCTGCCATGGTTGCTGTAGACAGGTAAATATTTTTTACTAGTTACTAATATGTATATATGTGTTAATATACATGCATGAGAATATCAGAATATGCGCGTGTGCATATAAAACTTAAATGCGTTTATGCGTATAAAATGTAATAAATTTGTAGAGTATTTGAGGATCTGAATAGATCAAAACAGAACAAAAAATCAGCCGAAACAATCCAAGACGAGAAACAACCGGATAAGGAAGCAGAAATCTCAGCCGAAAACTCAGTATGTAATGTAATCGATACTAATGTTGCGGCAGAAGCCTCTACTACGATTGAGAATGATGCATTCTCAAGAGAGTCGCCTAAAAGTCCAACTCCGGAAATTGTCGCCATGGACATAATACAGGAACATTCAGCAGATTTATCAACTATGTTGGCTTGGTTACGCACCGAACCTCCACTTTCTCCGGAAAGTCTATCGACTTTATATATCGAACACAGTGATTTCGAAGCCGCTCTACGTGTTGTTCAACCTTCAGCAAAAAGAGAAGGTTTCGTTACAGTTCCCGATGTAACATGGGATGATGTCGGTTCTCTGCGAAATATACGACAGGAATTGCAGATGGCAATTCTCGTGAGTTTCGATTAAGGCTCGGTTTTCTTGCTGCAGCCATATTGAATTATGATGTTATAAGCGAGCATAATATGCAAAAAATTTCTTGCGCCGTATAACTTTATTTTCCCTCTAAAAATATATTTTCATATTCTTAACATTTGTAAAAAATACCAGAAAGTAAGATATCTGTCCAATACATCACGTGTAAAATAATTCTTGAAATAATGGTCACTGCTCAGCTATCAGAAACGACTAGATTTAGCGATCCGATTTCTAGTAGCTGAGCAGTGACTATTATTTCAAGAATTATTTTACATTTTTACATAATCTATTGGACAGATATTTTATTTTTTGGTATTTTTTACAAGTTATAAAAATATGAAAATACATTTTTGAAGGAAAAGTCCAAAATAAAACTATACGACACAAGAAACTTTTGCATGTTATTTCTCGCCTGACATCACGTAACCCACATGTTGCCTCGAGAAAATCGAGTCTTAAAATATATTCGATCGAAATATATTTTTATCTGTAATATTTTCGATCTCTTGTGAGAGAATAGTTATTATACTATTTTATTATATTTGCGGCATGTGTATATAAATTTATAAACTTATTAATTGCAGGCTCCTGTCAAGCACTCTGAGCACTTTAATACATTAGGTTTAACAGCTGTTAGTGGAGTATTGTTATGTGGTCCACCTGGATGTGGAAAAACATTACTAGCTAAAGCCATAGCAAATGAAGCTGGAATTAACTTTATTTCTGTTAAAGGACCAGAACTCTTAAATATGGTAAGTTTCAACATTTCTATATTATATTTGAAAATTTATTTTTAATAATTTTATCGTATACTTTTAGTACGTTGGTGAAAGTGAAAAAGCAGTTCGTCAGTGCTTCTTAAGAGCGAGAAATTCAGTACCGTGTGTCATATTTTTCGATGAAATAGATGCGTTGTGTCCGAAGAGAACGGAAGGCGACAATTCTGCGACAGCACGTGTTGTTAATCAAATGCTTACAGAAATGGACGGTGTGGAAGATCGACAAGGTGTATTCCTTATGGCAGCTAGTAATCGTCCTGACATTATAGATCCGGCTATTTTGAGGCCAGGAAGATTAGATAAAATTTTATATGTTGGTCTTCCGAATGCTTCAGACAGAGTGGATATTTTACGTGCAGTAACAAAGGTATTTATACAAATATATAATTGAGAGAGAGACGCATTCACGTATCAAAAAATTGTTTTTTCTTCAAAAAAATTTGTCTCATTGCAATTAACATATATTACTAACAATATTTATAGAATGCGACAAAACCAAAACTTGCTTCTGATGTTGATTTGAATGAATTGGCATACAATGACAAATGTGAAGGTTATACTGGTGCAGATTTAGCAGCTTTGATAAGAGAAGCTGGTATGGGAGCATTGAAGGAAATAATAGCTGGTTATGGGCAACCTGAAATTTCAAAACGACATATTTTTCAGGCATTTGATAAAGTGCAACCGTCTGTTCGCGAAAAGGCGAGTATTCATTTTTTTTATTTTTAAATCGATATTAGATAGCACGAATAATAAAAATATAAATTCTGCAGGATATTAAACATTATGAAAAGTTGAGTAAGTTATATTCAGCTAGAGAAAGTTCTAAACTTACGCCAATGGATACACCAGTAGATGCACCAATTGTTGATGTAGTTATGGAGTCAATGGAAACATAAAGTACAATTATTAAAAATCTGTAAGAATCGATGAAAAACTCTTCCAATATCAATATCAAAATTTAAAACTTTTACACAGAAAAGACGAAAGGTACTTCCTAAACACTACGATTTAATTTGCATATTTTTGTTTCATAAATGAACATAGTTTTAATATTGGATAATATTTTAAGATATATAATTAATATACAGACAAAGTATTGAGATGCATATATTAAGAATCCTTCATAAAATTTTCATCAGTTAATAAAAATTTAATAATTTTAGCAATACTCTCTTTTATTAAATATGTAATAAATATTCTGAAATAAAATCAGTTGCATGAGTTTTTTTTATTATTCTTGTAAACGATAAATGGCCATAAAAGATTTTTAAGGAGATTCGGAATTTGAATATTCAGGAGTTGAATAGTCAGGAGTCATTCTGGTTATGCAGATTAAGTGTTACGGATGGTAAACAAAAGATCTTGAGTTCAATCCCGGCCGATTCTGTTAATTTCCTCATCTCTTATATTCTAAATATTTCTTGATATTTAAACAAGTGAATCCAAATGAACTTTTGCATGAACATTTTTATTAGACTTATCAATAGATATAAAAAAATTTGATTTGATTACTAATATTACTTTTTCATCAAATTTGCAAATAAATACTATAAAATATGATTTTATAAGAATCAAGAGTAACAAAAAAAATCAAATAACTTTTAATAAGAGAATTATGCTGAAATTTTACATAGATGTTCAGATACAATTTTTATATTTTTGATAATGCTTTAAGATACATATGTCCTTAAATACATATATAATAATATTAATACATCACTAATTCTCTGGTCAAGAGTATAAAATTACAATAAATTTATTATAACATTCATTCAAGCAGAGATATTTATCTCAATATAATTAGATAGTTTTGCTTAAGATTGAAGATCTTATACCTTATCAATTTTGCGATTTTTTACAATCCAAGGATGTGCAAGAACACCATCCATATCCAATCTTTTTTCAGGATCAATAACTATCAACTGAAATATAATAACAATATATTAGTTATAAGCCAAGTACATGTTAATAAACTTCTGCAAGATAAGGTAAATTTCAGAGAAGCAAGATCTCAAGTGCTGAATATATGAAATAAATTCAAATCACTAACTATATCACAAATTATATCACTAACTACATGCCACTATTTTTAGCTTACAATGCAGCGGTTCTTTAATAATTCGATAATCAAATATTTTTGATATCAATTAAATATTCTTTTATTATTCTTCCTATAGGAAATATATATTGCAAAAAATATCCTCAGTTATGGATTGAACCTGGATCATCAATTTCCCAAGCAAGCATCTTATTCATTAAATCACAGAAGCTATGATAATATTTAGCACAGTATATATTTCCTATGGAGAAATAATAAAAAGGGATATTTAATTGATATCAAAAATATTTGATAAGAGATCTTGCAAGGAATTGGCCTTGAAATATAATATTCTAAGAGTTAATCAAGTTTTAGAAAATGACATATATCACCAACAAATTTGAATTTTTGTGAACCTACTTTTGAAATTAAATCTCTTGCTCCTTCACTGACAAAGCTTGGAAATGTGTATCGCAACTTTTTTATATTTATATAAGTCTCATTATTAGTTGCTGCATAAAAAGGAGGCTTGCCAACTAAACATTCATAACATAATACTCCAACACTCCAAAAATCAACTGTATGATTATGTGTTTTCCCAGATACCATTTCAGGTGGCAAATAATCCAAAGTACCACATAAAGTGTCTCTTCGAGAGGAAGGAGCATGTACTGACCATCCGAAATCAGCTATTTTTAATTCTCCATTTAGTCCAAGAAGTAAATTCTCAGGTTTAATGTCACGATGAATAACACTTTTGCTATGGCAATATTTTAATGCATCTGCTAATTGAGCTATGTAAGTGGCTGTCCTACAAGTATAAAAATTCACAATTAATTTCAATTTTTTTGTGAGCAAAACAATTTTTTGTGAATTCCTACCTTACTTCATCAAATCGTTTATTAGCTTGATTATTCAGTTCTTTATAAAGCTCTCCTTTTGGTGCATATTCTAATATTAAATAAATTCTTTTATCATCATAAAAATACCCATACATCCTCAAAATATTTGGATGCCTATACAAAAATGACAATATCAAATGTACTATTATAAAATAAAATATACTGATGAAAATAAAATAAAAAAAGTATGATACCTTAAATGAGTTTGAATTTCTATTTCTCTTCGTACCTGATGTAAGATTTTTGCATCATCTATTTGCGCTCTATAAAGCACCTTCATGGCTATTACAAATTGCGATCTTTTTTCTCTAGCCAAATATACATTACCAAATTTTCCTTTACCCAAAGGTCGACCGATATCAAAATCCGTCAATACCCATCTCTTCTGACTCTGATTTTCCTTATTTACATCATTTGTATCTGAATCAGAAATTTTCTGGACATTTTCACTTTTGCTATCTTTTATTTTTTCATTATTGTCACTATCAGACTTGCGTTGATTTTGTATAGAATCTACCGATTTACATATTGCTGGTTTTTGTTTAGGGGGTGGCATTAATTCAGTAGATTTTTTTGCAGTTTCTTTACATTCGTTTTCATTCTTATCATTTACCGTTGTGCAAATTTCACAGATATTTTCCTCACTTGTATTTTCTACATTTTTTGATGGAATGACCTCTGTTGAATCCGTTTTGGAAATGTGCAAGCATTTAAAATTGCTAACTTTCAATGCTTGTATGACTGGTTGATGATTCATTTTGCTGTTTTCGTTATCCATTCCGAGTACTCAATACTTTTACTCCGATCCTATGTAATTTGATACAGATGATAGATGAGACAAATATGTCATTCGCAATAATTTACGTCTTCATATATATTTTACGCACGTAAAAAGCAAATATATTACAACTACATATACATCGCGCTATGTTCCGTTCAAAGTTTCAAATGTTGATTTAACAATTTCGGATGCACAAGAGATTATTAACAGAACACTACATCTGTCATATAAATCATTGCCTTGAAAGATGACGAATGATATGATTTTTCTTGGCAGCACTTACTTCTCCAGCAAGCAAAGATCTTGAAACGTGTGAAGCTCTTCAATCCTTCAAACGGTTTTTCAAAATAATAAATGCTTTTCGTTGATTGGTCAGTATGACACTGGCTATATTCAAGAATGGAATATATAGTATAGTATAGTCAGTATTCGGAAACTTAACAATGGAGTCTGCGCAAATTTATTCACGCAGGCCATGTTGTTAGGCGCCCCCAATGAAATTAAATATGACTGGAATGCATATAGTAGCAAGACAAATTATAAAAATTATAAATAAAGCCTATTTTTTTTTATCTGAACTTCTTGGTATGTTTTTTTTCTCTCTTTCTTTTGCATAGAGAAAAAGAGAAAAATAACTGATAAGAAAAATTATAAAAAAACAAAAGTCACAAAATTCATATACATGAAATGTTACAAATAGTTCTTCCGAGATTGTTTCACATATTTATATTACCTAGGAAATATTTTTTACAAGTCAGTCACGAGTTTTTATATTTTACGTATCACGCAGGATGTGAACATCACAATACGTATTAGGAAGAAAGATGAAATACGTAATTTGAATTAACAACGTAACATTTATTTACTTATTAAGATACAGTCCATCGTTCTGATAGTTGGTAATGTTTATAATTTTAAATAAATGTAACATCAATGATACCCATGATTTCTTTCAAAATAAACATGCTTGACAGGGGAGAAACTTACTGCCACAATAAGCTGTGAAAAATAAAGGATATTACAAAATCTGTAGTTCGAAAAAGAGCTGCTTGTACAAAGCAGCTCTCGAATTATTTTATAATCTTACTTCATAAGGGTTAATTCAGGCATGCCTGGATCTGCACCCTTGCTGAATCCTAAAAATAAAATATTACAATTTTTAGCGTCATATTCTTGATTGTATCGTGCGAATAAAATAATATATATCGATATTAAAATTTGAAATCTAACCTAGAAAGAGAACGGCAGGAATAAAACCCCATTGAAATACGAATTTGGTCACATTCAAAACGATGGCTACTCTTTGTTTTGTAGTCGGATTTAAAACCATGTTGATTTTTTTGAGATTTTTAGTATTGCGGTTAATGCAATATGCCTGTGTGTAATGTTTGTAAATTCGTAAACCGTAACAGCACCGAACAACACGCGGTCACAATCAAACGAGGTTAAGAATCGATATGTTAGACTCATCCATCAGGCGCCGCATCGTCGCGATGCGTAAACATCTGTCTTTATTTAATATGATAAATGACAAAGATGAAATGATTCTAAACCACATTCATTAGGAGCAAAAAAATAGAATTTTTTTTAAAGGACACAATCTTTGTCGATTTTCAAGTTTTTATTTTCGTAATGATAATAGTTAGATGTGGAAAAGAAAGATAAAAAGTACAAAAAATTGAACTATAAAGAAAAAATTTTGTTTTTTTATACATTTTCTGTCGCAATTTTTAAACTTAAAAATTTAGGATTTTTTAAATTTTAATTCTATGGAAACAAACGTGGAGAAATATTTGCAAGATGAACAATTTTTATTACTGATATAGTCAGATAATGTCAGATTTTAAAGTATTATAAGATTTATAAGTATTATAAATTTTATACATAATATAAATATAATGATAAAATTCTACATTCAAGATTAATGATCTATTATAATTAATTCGTCAATGCCCCAATCCTCATAACTGTTATCAGGCAGATAGCGACGTATGATTATGGGAATCTTTCGTTGCTTCAATTCCTTCATAGCAATCTGCAAAGGATCTGTCTCTCCTTCTAATTCTACCATAACAGGAGCACACATTGCTATTTGCAATGCTCTTGTACCTAAAACTCTTGCCCTTTCGTATCTAAAACATAAATTATACATACAATTATAATTTCTACTTTCTACTTTCTTTTCTACTTTCAATACTATACAGATTACATACTTGGTCATATATCTTGTCGTTATTCTCTTTGATCTTTGGACACCACCAGTAGCTTCATTAGCATTCAATAATTCAATGTTTTCGCCATCATCTTCTTGAGGCTCTAATTCAATGTTATCCTCGTCGTCTACATCATCAAAATCATCCGCAACTCTATATGATATAATTAAATTAATTTAACAAATAATTGCTTTTCAAATCTTTGAAAAAAATATATTTTGTTCACCCATAAATTTTTGTATTGAGTTATATCACATTTTTGTTAGACACAATTTTATTTTTGTTATATGTATTTTCGAGTTTGTATTAATTTTCATTGTATATTGGCTCAAGGGAAGCCAAGACCATTTTAAAGTAATAATAATAATCAACAAATGTGATGAACACATGAATCGTACCAATATCAATAACTATTTCCTTGTCTTAACTTGCCAGAAAGAATCTTATATATTAGATTAGAAAAAAACTGACTATTTGATTAATTAATATTAATGTTAATTTATTAACATTAATTCTTTAAAGAGAAACACGAGTTAACCTCTATCTAATTTTGTAAATAGAAACTCTTCGTTACTTACTCGTCTCCATCAAAATCTTCATCGGCCATTATTTATTTATTTATTTGTCTACAAAATAATGTGACTTGTTCTTGATTTTGACAATAAAAATGATTTTTATCATCTATAAATTAATGCAAGAGCACTATGTTCTATTCCGCAGGTTAAAAGTGTATTCTAAAGTGAGAGCTGTGTTCCAAACTACTACCAGCGCTGATAATATATAGTATACGTCACGTGAACTATAGATTTTCAATACTAGTAATATATATCATGAGCCAAAGAAGATATAAGTGAATCGACCAATCACATATGAAAATTCTCGAAAACATTGAATTCATACATTCATTGAATTCGGACATGTCGTAACGCATTGGAGTTTGGAAATTTGGAAATTATATTTTAACCAATCAGAATAAAAAGAACTAGAGCAACGAAATATGGTCGAATCGACATCGATTATTTTTCTTATATATATATTGCGAGTTGCGAGCTTGGCATCAACACGAATTGTCAAAAGTTTAAATCACAGGCGGTACTGTATTACCGATTATTGTTTGTAACTTTATTATATTTTGAATTTTCGAAAAATATCGAGTGACATATAACGTGAAATGGCAACGGAAAAAGATTTAGTAAATGGTACGTAGTTGTAAATATTTATATACAAGTATTTCAAAATCAAGAAATATTTGACAAGTAATTTACAATTTCTGTGTCTTACATTCCAGCAGAAATTATACAATTCGAACAATACTCTTATCGTAACTACTATTTCTTAGTATTTTTTTTATTCAACATATTTTAATGTATGCCGAAAGATATTTTTTACTCTCTTTCTCTCTTTTTTTCTCTCAACTTTTGTCACATATTTCCTAACCATCTAATGATTAAAAATTCATCCGTTATTTGTATATTTATAAAAGATGACATGCTTGCATTTGAAACTTGCAGCTGTGCGAGAATCATTAAAAGCCGACGGAGATCTTGATCGGATGAAAGCAGAAATGCGCACGGAAGTGATAAAACTGCTTGATGATTCTACCAAAGAAAACAAATCGAAAACTATCAAGCCTTCTCATGATATTGTTTTTCTTAATGAACTCATTAGAGAATATTTAGATTGGATGGGTTACAAATATAGTTCTACTGTATTTATTGCAGGTATGTTATTTTGAAATTCGTACAGTCATATATATCATTATACTAATAGTCATTATAATAAATATTATGTTAAAAACAAATAATATATTTTTTTCAAAGAAAATTTTTTGATGAATCAAATTTCGATTAAGCAATAAGATTCAATGAAAAATGTTCTTCCAGAATGTGATCTTCCAAAGCATTCCTTGGACCGTAAACTTCTTGCACAAGGCTTAGGAGTAAAAGATAGTGAAAAGAGCAGAAACTTACCATTATTATGTGGCCTTGTACAAACATTTACTAATCTAAAAAATAGCTAATTGTAAAATCTACTCAAGCATATATTATTCAACATTCAACTGTGATTTTTAAATGCTATTTATTTCATATGTATGTACATACAAAATCTCATACTTTGATGTCTTTTTATATATACAAACATGAAAACATATTTTGTGCACAAACTTGTATGTATACAGACGATTAAACTTTGTAATAAATTAAGAGAAGTAAAAAAACAAAAAGAAAAATGCACAATTTTCATCTGTCAAACATCTATCATGTGGCTATGTATAGGCAAGCGTGCGTGTATATACAAAACAATGATAAATTACAATAAGCATACTGAATGCAAACTTTTTTTGTTTTTATTATGTTTGATAAGATACAAGAATATGTTAAAAGAATTTTATTTTATTTCGTGATTTTTCTTACATATCGACATTATATTATGAAAGTACAATATAACGGTGAGAGAGAAGAGACAAAGAGAAAGATATACATATAGATAGATCAGACAGAGAAAGAGATAGCAAAGATCCTAAATAAAATTGCTCTCTTATGTAATTATCAAGTTTTTAAAGACTTATTTCTTGACAAAATTGCCACGAAATTATATCAGCTACAATGTACATGGCTTATTGTAATAATGAACTTACATACAATATTTTAATGTGTCAAGTCGGAACATAATAATTATGCAAAGGCCATATGTTCTTTTTTTCTCTTTAGTTAGTTCTTTCAGGTTAAAATAACTATCGTACGTGTTCTCTTAATTTTTTTTATTTTTTTATTATTCATTGATCCATTACTTTGTTCCTATTGAAAGTATGTCTATCCTTTTTTCCACGCCAATAAATAGTCTACTAAACAATACCTGTTCAAAGAAAAAACGTTATCACACATTGAATTGTAATTATATCACGAGTACAAAATTATTAAAATTATTATGGATTTCCGTGATACTCGCGAAGCTATTTAAAGACAAAAAATAAATTTCTGGCCTTTTTCTATTTTTCTTGTAGCATGTCTTGGTTGATCAAACAAATAATAATGTATATCTAGTGGTGTCATTTATGCTTGGATTTTTTCTTCTTTTTTGACTGTTTGCTTTTGCTTTTTGATTTCTTCGATTTCTTTTTATGTTTCTCTTCGTCACTGCTGCTATCGGATGAATCAGAGTAAGTATCCGAGTCCGAACTGCTATCTTTTTTGACAGATTTCTTCTTCTTATGTTTCTTATGTTTTTTCCTTTTCTTCTTATGCGATTCATCACTGCTTTCGGAGTCGGAGCTTGTCGTATCAGAACTGCTTGATGTGTCCTCGCTGCTACTGGATTTGGATCGTTTTTTTAGGGATTTCATTTCCATCTCCTTGTCTAATTCTGTTTCGTCGAGTTTCAATTTCTTCGTGGGTGGCAAAACTTTACCTTCCTCACCATCCGATTCAGAGTCTGAAGCCGAGTAATCAGGCTCGAAGTTTGCTTCGTCAAGTATACTACGCTTACGATCGGATACCAGTCTGGGATTTTTCCGTTGTTTCTTTAACGAATCAACCAGAGGCGGCTCGATGTTCTCATAACTAACCTTGGTCTCATTGCCATCCGATTTGTCTCTTGAGACTGTACTCTCCTTGTGCTTTTGCTTCTTTTCTTGATTTTTATCCTTATCTTTCTTGTGCTTTTTTCTTTGCGCTTCTTATGCTCCTTGGATTTACTTCTGCTGCGGTGTTCCTTTTTTCTCTTCTTCTCCTCTCGTGACTTCTTATCACGTCTTTTCTCTTCCTCGTCGTCTTTCGATTTCAATAAACCAATCTTGGATATTTCTGTTCTTTTAAACGCACAAACCGAAGGAGGTGTTCTGCCTCTATGCTCACGATCTCGTTCCTTATCACGATCTTTATCCATGCGCTCTCCCTTGATGTCATTCCTACTCGAGCGAAAATCTGTTCTACAATCAATTCTACTCTCTCTCTCTGCTTTCAACTCACTGCCATGCCTGTCGCCTCGGAAATCTGATCTCTCCTTTGATCGATCGCCTCTATCTTTGTTATCTCGTTTTCTCTCTTCCAAAAAGACCTTTCTTTCACTACTCGTTGTAGTTAGACTTAACGAAGAGGATTCAACGCGTCGCTCTAAAAGCGGAGAGGAAAGTCTCTTTTCCCTCCTAGGCGATCGACTCCTTGATTGACTCTCGTTCTTGGAGTCGCGTCTCTCTAGGAATCCCTTTATAGGACTAATCTTTCTCTCCTTGCTATCCTCAATCTTCTCGCCGAGTCTCTCTTTGGCAGACAGTCTGGTCGGCGAGTAGGCTGTTTCTGGAACAGGTTTGAATTTGGTACGATCGAGTTTGGCTTTTTTCGCTGGTTCGGTAATCTCGACATTTCTCTCGTTTCTACCAACATTAATCGTCACATTGACGCTCTTTCGTGGTTCTCGATTAGCAGACTCCACCGTCTCCAATACTTTAGGCTCGGGATTCTGATACAGTATCTTCCTACTTTCGCTGATCTTTTTGATCTCAATCGGTCGAATCGCATTAATTGCCTTTTGGAATATCGCATTCTCCGCACGTTTCAGTACTTCCGATGTAACCATCTTGACAGATTTCGGTTCGTCCTCCCTCTGTATTTTTTCTGTCGGCGAGCCGCTCGCATCGTCGTCATCGTCATCGGGTTTTTCAATTGTATCGTCTCTTTCCCATTTGGACAATTCAGGTATTGGCGCCAGAAACTCATCTTTCTTTGGCGATTTCTCCGCAGTTGCTAATAAGACGGTAGTGGCTTCTTTCGTCTCGGTTTGTGAGTGTTCCGAAAGTAAAGAATACTTTTCCGTGATTACAGTGTTGATCTCTGTATCATCTAATCCACCATAGAGGCTATCGATCGGCTTCATGTCTGACTTGAGTTCCGGAATCGGTTTAAAGTTTGGATTTGGCGGATTTGTACCAAATTCCGTACGATCTAAGCGACCACTGCCGGGACTGGATTCGTTGAATTCCGGCGGTTCTGGATTCATCGCCAGAGACTTGTCCTCGAATTCTTCCTTAATCGGTGCAATAGCTACCTCATTGGAAACGCATTCGATTCTATTTTGCATGTTATCCTCCTCATTACATGCCTTTATGGAATCAATTTTGAGCGGCGAAGATAAAGTATCGTTATTTGTTTTACTCTCGATCAACAAATTGTCTGTCTCCATCGTTTTAATCGTTGGATCGTCTTTAGCTGCATCTTTCTGATTGGATTTTTTGTCCTTCTTTTTCTTCTTCTTCTTCTCTTTGTCATCACTATCTTTCTTTTTCTTCTTTTCCTTTATTTTCTTCTCTTTCTTCTTTTCTTCTATCTTTTCCTCATGATCTTTTTCTTTCTTCTTTGTACTTCGTTCTGGTGACAAATCTTTAGGATCGCCTCTGGATTTCTGCGAGTATGGACTTAAGCTCTTTCTATTCTTCTTTCGCTCCATCGAACGCCTCTCGTATCGCTCGTGACGATCTCTGTCTTTCTCAAACTCGTATTCGCGTTCACGTCTGTCTTTTTCTCGTAATCGATTCTTGTCGTCTTGTCTGTGACGATCTCGATCATCTCTGTAACTGTAACAATACATGAAAATAACATATACAATAATATATTTTTTAATATATTTATTAATTTTAATATATTTTGTAACAAATCATAAATTAACATAACACGTCTCCTGTTTCAGCACTATGTTAAACATTAATAAACATATTACAGTTAATAATTCATTAATTCTTGACTGTTTCTTAATTTGTACTTTAAATCGATTAAATATAAGTATTTGATTCCACTTGATCGCAAAACATACCGATCTTTATCATAATCTTTCTTCTCGACATGCCTATCATCGTCTCGACGATCACGAATGTGTCTATCATCCCGTTCTTTCTCCTTTTCTCTTCTGTCGCGCTCATCCTTCTCTCGTATTCTGTCCTCGTGTTCTCTAGGCGGGATCTGCCTATCGCGATCCTCTCTGTTTACGATTCTACGATCTCTGTCGTCTCTCTCGCGCATACGGTCCTCACGTTCGCGACCCCTTTGAAACAAAATATATCACAAATATATTTTATATTTCTTTAGGATGACATTTTCGAGTCTTCTGTTACTTTTACAAATATATTCCTTCGTAATAATATTTCCTTTATAAAATGCAAAATGGAGATGTGTGTGTGTGTGTGTGTGTGTGTGTGTGTGTGTGTGTGTGTGTGTGTGTCAATAATATTCCTACACTGTTGGAAAAAATGTGTTGAATTTAATATAAATCACCCCAAATGGTCCCAAACGGTCCACTCAAAATTTTGTGTTAATTTAACATAATATGGATATGTTAATAGTAACACCAACACTATGTTAATATTTCAACAAATGAAATGTAAAAAAAATACTACTCTTGATCTTAATTTGAAGTTAAATTTGTGTGTTATAATTAATATAATTAATATAATTAATATAATTTTTATGATAAAATTAACACATAAGAAGTGTCCTTTTTACAGTTTATAAATGTAACCTCTGAAACTTTTAATTGATATAATGTAAAAGTTACACTATTTGTTAAAAGTTTTATTTCTTCACTATTTTTACAAAATTATGATAGGAAAAAATTTTGAAATGTTGTTTATATTAAAAAATTCTATAAAAAGACAATTTTAAATTTACTTCTGAACGAAAAGAATAAATGCTTTTAAGTTACAAGAAGCACTTATAATCTCAGGTGAAAAATTAAACTAACAATAACTCATATAATAGTTCAATTAAATTATAATAGCAATAAAATAAAAATGTACATAACAAGAATCATCTACTAAAAGATAGATGAAATAATTCTGGTACTTGTATCGTAACACTAGAAGACAAAGCACTGAAACATGTCGAGACGCGTCAAAATTCGAGACTATACCGAAACCATACAAACAATAATAATAAGCCATCCTCACCGTGTTATAGAGTAAAACCAACATTTTTTGAGTAAATTTTAATATATTTAATAAATACGTACGAATTGTGTTATTTTAAATCATCACATTTTTTAAATCATTTTAATAATTTTACATTTTATATTCGTTAATCAATTAACATAGTAGACATGTGTTAAATTTACATATAAATATGTAGATTATTTAACATAAAAATTTTAACCAGCAAATTTTTTTTAACAAAAATACACAAATTTTCTAACAGCGTATTATAAAGAGTTATAATAAAACAATATTACCTATCATCCCTTAATCTATCGCGTTCTTCGTTATCACGATCCTTAGATGAGTGTTCCCGATCTTCTTGATCTCTTAGAGAACGCCTTTCACGATCGTCTCTCGATGATCTTTCGGAATGTTCGACACCCGGTGGTGAGAGATCGTAATAACCTTCAGTACCAGGTGGAGCTACATCATCAAATCGCTTATGTGATGAAAGATCCCTTAAGGGACTGCCGAAACGCTGTGATGGTGGAGGTCCGGGATACCTGTTGACAGAATGTCAGTACAGCACTTGATACGTTAGTCATCTTGTTAAATACTTGATATGCTTTCTTGGCTTTTCTTTTTGATACATGATGCATCTTTATAAAACTAACATAACGCGCGAAAAATGTTGTTGCATCGAATAGTTGTTAGTAATGAATTTGTATGAAATTTCAAGATATACAGAGAGAGAAGAGAGAGAAAGAGAGAGAGAGAGAGAGAGAGAGAAGAAATATAGTTAAAATATTCGTAAGAAAGGAAAGAAACTCAAAGAATAGTTTGCCTCTTAAATTTCTCCATTCTTCTGTCAATTCCATTTACTCGCCACACTTGTGATGTGTGGAAGACACC